TGCATTTATAGGTTGCTGTCAAAAGAACTGGCACCAGGATGCCCATGTTTTCCTTTTCACGGTTGACCACCCCCACATTTGCAAGCTATTCTCTCCCACTCCTTCTTTTATACCCGTGCAGCATGCATCTAATCCAGAAATATCTCCTCTCCTCCAGCCTGCCAGGTAAATGTTGCATAATTTCAAATATTTCCTGTCAGATGTCATAGCTCTGGTCTCTTCTAGTCTTAGTTTTTCTACTGTCCTTTTCACTGCCCTGAGAGATTTCAGTGAATTACAGCTCTTCCTTATTTGGTCTCTAGGAAGTCTTTCTCTTTTCTAGGTGTAGCCCCTGGAATTCCCAATTCCTACTGATGCTGCATTGACTCTCCCTTGCTCTGGAGGGCTTAACCCTTCAGCCCTCCTCCTAACAATGCATCAGCTGGGAAGGAAAAACAAAAACAAAAAACTACATTTGCAGCACCAAAGCCCAACAGGTGTTACTGCAGCTGAAAGAGTAAAGGTGAGATACCTTGCAGGGATACATGCTTTCCCTAAAAATAAAGTAGAAAGGTAGCAAAAAACGTTGGCAGGAACATTCACATGTTAACTGCCTTTTTCAAACACAAATGTAAGGTGTGAGGGTTTTGGAGGAAAGAAAAAAAAAAAAACCAGCACAACACAGTTTTCCCAAGTCTGTGCAAACTTAAAATTTCTTATTTTCAACTGCAGTTTTCTTGTCAGTTATTTCAGTCGTTCTTACCTGAGGACAAGTGTTTAGCTCAATTATTGTTTGTACTCTTGAGGTCAAATTTGCACGCAACTGCCCCAATTAAACCATCCTTTAGATGTAAGTTTGGGGCTTATGTGTTCACTATATTCAAAACAAAAACGCTAAAGAAAAGTTAACAAAAGTCTGGTGATAATATGCACCTGAAGAAGTTAACATGTTACTGACTTAAAGTTCAGTTCACAACTAAACCTTATGAAGTCGATACCATACAGTTTCAATACAAGCAGCAATGGGAAAACAGTTAACACCTAAGGGTTGATCCTGCTAATCCCTCAAGTCAAAATGTTTTAAGAAGATTTTCAAGAGAACATCTTGAAAAAAAACAACAAGTACACATCTAGAAACTCCACAATTGCCATCTAAAGCAAACCCTATAGAGTTTTTCATACATCTTTAAAAGTATCTGACTGGTGCTTTTACAGCAATTGGTAGAATACGTACTAATTACAGAGAAAATTCTCTGGGTCATTTTGCTGGAAAACCTCTCAAGTCATTTCCAACATCAGTATTTGTGAAAGCTTACGCTGATATTTTTCAAGTTACTGACATATCCTAGATGAAATTACAATACTGAATGACTCCTGATTAACTTTTTTTCTTTTAAGATAAGGAAGCATAGGAAAAACACATGTGCAGAAGTGTTCACAGAAGCAATTACGTTTTGCTAGCCCTGCAATCAGAGCTTACTTACAGAAGCTTACTGAAAACCGAAACAAGATTCCCGTCTGTGCATCAAAATTCTTGGAAGGATCGTTTTCAGACAGAGATGGCCATTCCTTTTTCAGCCAACTTTTTTGCCAGTTTTCAGCCAGCTTCTGACTTACCAAGCACAAAACAAAATTCGTAAGGCTTCGACACTAAAAGTCAGAAAACTGATACTTAGCTGCTGCCACTAAAGAAGCATCAGATGGAGACTTGCAAAGTGACAAGCTCTACTTAAACGACCACCAGTGAAATCTGTAGTTTCCTGTCTGCCAAGTTTTTGAACTAGACAAAAAACAAGTCAAAAAGCTTCTCTCTTTGTGCAGCCTTCAAGCTCATTTCAGCTGAAGACTTGTTTGCTTTCAAAGTGATTCACCAACTGCATATTCTGCTTCCATAGAAAGTCATATTTACACTAGTTTCAAGTCCTGCTAATCTAGTCTTAAATTTTTTAGAACAAAATTGCAGGCTGACCTTTTTCAGCTCATCAAGCTTAACTGGCATTAATTTCCAAATCCTCACCATTTTCTTAGGTGTACTAATAAAAATTTAGAAGCCTCATCTAAAAAAGAATGATGCACAAAAACCCCACGCCCTGTGTAGATACTTACATACATAATGTACCAGACTGAGTTTTTCCAAATCACTTGGGGGAAGGGGGGGCAGGGGAGAACAACAAAAAACACACCATCAAAACACCTCACACTGAGTGAAGTATTGACTTTAAAAAACATCAATGCTAAAACTCCGATTGATTTCATTGTGGCCAAATTTTCAGCTGTGCCATGGATAGAAATATCCCTTTAACTTGCTCCCAGTAAGACATACCAAAATTAGTTTAACTGCAAAGCTTTTTTTCCACCCACACAGCTCCCCTCCAGAACCTGTCCTAGACCTCATACTTAGCTCCAGAGAGATTTCAAAGGTTTTTTTTAAAAACATGTTAGAGAAAATTGATGAACGATTCTGCATTTGTTTTGCTAATCCCTTCATGCAGCTAGGAAACCCTTCATAAAATAGCCATCAGTACTTTCTCCATTACAGCTGACCTGCAAAAATATTTGTTACTGTACTATGGGAAAGTCATCAATTTTAACCTAAATTACTTTAACTATCAACATATTTTTAGTTATTTTTGTTCTTCTTAATACAAAACCCAAAATGGAAAAAAAAAAGACATGAAATCATATTGTATTGAAGGTTTTATTGATGGCTAAATTGCTGTCACTTAAATCAGGAATAGCACTTTAATTCTTATCTAACAAGACTAAAAAGAAACTGGCTATTAAAGATTTACTTCTATAAGCCTTTAAGTTGCCCAAGACATACTGTTCTGCACAACTTCCATGCTGCCAGCAAATGACAGCAAACTAGCAGCGTAGCTTACATTGTATGCTTTAGTATACAGCAAAGAGTGATCTCAAAATTCATCACTTTTACCAATTACATTTTTTGGAATTATGTTACAAACAAAAACCGTTTTCTTACTTCTCTGCAATTATGTACAATATGAAACAAAACCCAAGGTTTGTGGTAGAAACATGTATGATTTGGTCATATACAGACAACAACATCGAATTTTATGAAATGGCCATAATTATTTTCTGAGATTAGACTCCCGTTCAAGATTACTAGAACTGACACTGCAGTGTGACACTTTCCAGAAGCACGGAAAATACACTCAATAGACCAGATCCTCCTCTTTCGCTTTCCTTACACAGACAAATCTAATGTCACTGTGTATTCTATATAATCAGATATATGTGTATCATAACTCACTACCTAGGCTTGCTTTGCGCTAGAGAAGCACTTAAATGAAATCTGATAATCTTGATGTGTCATAAATAATACTTATAGAAGTATGTGTGACGACATTCGTATTACTGTGAAGCGGAAGAAAAAACTGCTGGGAAGGAAATGAACACGCAAGTCAAAAGTTAAAGAATACAATTTTAAAAAAAATAATCACACTTAGAACTGGGACAGCACATTATAGAGCCAAAAAGGAGAAGTAATATTCTAAATAATAGTGTGTAGCCTTTAATTTGCAAGCCAAATCTTTACACAGGGCACTAAAAGAATGCCCTGGCAACCACTGCCCCATGCCAGCAGATTCCTTTAGACACTTGTAAAAAACAACAACAAAAAACCCAAAGCAAACAAAAAAACGCATGACAATCCCACCCAGCCCTTTTCAAGTACATTATTCCTCTCCACTCTGGTTTCCTAGAGGATTTCGCTGTGAGCAAGAAAATTCTGTGTAAGACCAATACTTCATCGATTTCTGGAATGAAGCAATAGCAGCAGTTTAAAATCTGCATAAGCCACAACCTGCATGTTTTCCCCGCTATGTTAGTTAAAATGAAAACAGGTGTAATAAAGATCTAGAAAAATTCAAATTATCATCCAAATAGAAGATGTTTAATCCAACTTGTAAACACCAAATATTCTCCTCCCTGTTTTGTGATGATGCTTCAGACAATAGCTGTCAACCAGCATGGACTCCCTTAAAATAACATTGTCAAACATTCAATTTATAAATACTAGACCCTCTTGTGCATCATAAAAGACAAGACGAAAATTTTCATAATATAAACAACACTTCATTTTACTAGCTTTTTGTAACTTACATTGCAAGTAACTGTAATTTCTCTAACATAAATCCCAGATTTGAAAGAAGCCAGACTGGCAGAGAACAGAAATAATAATTGTGAATTGCTTACCATCAATGCTGTGGCCACAAAATACATTTTCAGCATCTACCCAGCACGAAACCTGCCACTGCAGCTATTAACACCGCTAGCAAAGTTGCCAACAACTGAATGGTTTGACGACTTAAAACTTTTCTTCCTTTGTGAAGGGAAACTGCTTCGCAGCAGCACAGACATCACAGATACGCTGCAGCAAGGAGGCTTACATGTTTACTGCTTCTTATGTGACTGTTTGTAAACACATGAAAGATTTGTCCCTTCAGTACAAATTATCTTTCAGTAATATTTTACTTATTTTAAACTCCTTCATAAGATCATGGGGAGAGAGCAACATGTGCAATTAAGGCCGGAATAACTTAGAAGCTTTTCCTCTTAGAGCTCAGTTTAAAAGTTCGCTGTAGTCTAACGTCATATATGCTTTAGATAACTGGAAAAAGCAAACACGTGATTTACAAAGAAAGTCAACTGGTCCTAACCCTGCAGTGACTGTGAACAGTATGATTCGATAGTGGTCCTTGCTATAGAAGGTCCACTCTGAAATGAAACGAGTGAGGATGAGTAGTTGCATACGAAAGCTTTCCTAGGGAAGTAAACACTTTGAAGATCCATTTCATTCAGTAACACAGCACTGGCAATGCTCAGTGGCTGTGTTTATAAAGCAAAATACATTATCACTATGTTGTCCTGCTTCTTTCTTGATTACTCTATTACTCTGCAATTAACTATGTTTACTGTTCCATTACAGTACGTCCTTAGCATATGTACAGCAAACAATACTGGTCTAAAATCTAAAAGTGTCACTCAAGAAATTTCCAGTAGATGGCTTCTACGCATAAATTTGCAATTAACTTCTGGAGTCAAGTGAGTCTTTCAGAAAACCTGGCTCAAAGTGTTTTTAGACTTACACTCAGTAGATCAATATAAAAAAGTAACCACCTGCACATCTATCCTCTTCATGAACTATATATGCCCCACAAAGAAAAAGTTAACAGCTGCGACTAGTTTGCTGGGATCACACCAAAAAAAAGACAAAAGGAAAAAGAAATAAAATTTATTATAAAACCTGTTGAAATAGCAATGACTTAGCTGACTTCCTGCTCTGCTGTTATAGGCAGAAAAACATGTGACTGAATGCTCCGCGGGAAGCCAAAACAATATTACAGCGTAAGTATGGTGCCACACTAAAATCGCTTTCTCTTGATAATTTCTGGTTTCCAGCTGACAGGATGAGTTTCTTCGGTCTAAAGGGAAAGAAGAAAAATCTCATAAGGACTATTTTAACTTTAGATTCACTTGTAATTAGGGTTTAGTTTAAAATATCATATATATGTGAGTAATATTTCGTACGTAACATTATAATTACCTAACCTACTATTTAATTAATTTACTCAAATGAAATTTTTAAGTACATGTACATTTGAAGTACATTTTCTGAAGTACATGACAAGACTTGTTCTGTTGAGTTTGTTTGGGTTTGGTTTTTGGATTTTTTGTTTGGTTTTTTTTTTCAACAAGGACACAAATCAGGTTGCCAATGGCATTTCAGAAACAGCATTGTAGTGATCAAAGCACAGGAACAGGAATTCCAGAGAAACTTCTTCCAGTCATATTTACATCAGTATCGGCAGATGCCAGAGTCTACAGTTTGCCCAATTGCAAAATGGAGAAAACATTCCTTACTCCTTTAAGAATTGCTCCAAGCCCAACACAATGCAAAAATCCCAAAGCTTAACAAAAATCCTTATATTCTTTATATTGAAGATATACTCTGATAAACTACACAATAACCTCTTGTCTTCTTCATTAGTAAATAGATTCAGATTTGAAAATAAGCTATTTACTGTGAACTCTAAAAATTATCAGGGCAAATGACTAATCTAGATCATATACAGAAATACAATAAATCTTTAAATTTCAATCTTTTTGCTAATTCCCACATTTTAACGAATACAGCCACAAACAGTCCCCTACTGGCTTCAAAACACAACATATGTTACTATATTCAGATTTCTCCAAACTGTATCACAAAGCACTTTTGCAGAACACTTGATGGACCTGAGACTTATTTGTACTATAGTATATAATAATAAATTAGGAGTAGAGAAACTAGATGCTGTCCTTTTAATTATTACATACGCATTGCTTTTAAATGTTAATAAAATGGATTGCACAAGTCTGTGCAGATCCCTTAATGGTATGTGTAACTTTTGTTTGAAATCTGTTGATTTCATGAAAATACATTAAAAAGACACTTGGACATACCGCAGTATCATCTTCTTTATATACTTTTATGGTTTTATCAGCTTCAGCAGTTAGCAACCTGCTTTCTGACTGGTCAAAAACACAAGCAAATATTCCTGATTCACTGTCCAAAGAGCCTGGCTGTACAGCTGCATGTACTCTCTGGAAATTGTATCCAGTTCTCCAGTCCCAAAGATGCATAGTACCATTATCAGCTAAAACAAAGAGACAAACACATTTAGTATTTTACAGAGTTCATTTCTATGAGTTTTCTAAAAATGGTATCATGAACAACTAATTAATACATCAGGAACACATCAGCTATAACATTCACATCGAATAGCTCAACCCTACAAGGGAAACCATTTTCTACTGGTTTCTTTCTTAGTTAAGAAAGGCTGATCTTGTTTAAGGCGGCTGATGGAAGCTTCCTCAGAATTTCATCCAGTTTTCCATCTGATAACCCACAGAGATGATACACTGCATCACAAGGCAATTGCAGCAAGTTGCTTTGGAAACAAATCAAGGACTGCCATTCTGAACACCAAGCTCCCTGTTCAGAACCTCCATTAAAATCGAACAAAAAGGTATCATCCTGTCAAACAGATGACAGACATTGAGGAATCTGTAACGGGACATAGGCTTAATGCTTCCAGAAGTTCTTTCAAATATAGTTTAAACCACTGCCAGTATTACTGCTAGTGGCATCAGCTACAGGGTACTCACAGCAATCTGAACTCAGTGCTCAGAAGGATGTTCTCAAAGCAACTTTTCAGTTACAAAAACCAACCCCCTTCCAAAGCATTATCTAGCCAAAACAGATCTTCTAAAGATTTCTCCACAGCTGTCAGCTAGGCAAGAAATCCCGATGTTTTGAGAAGGCTGCTTCTACAGAAAAAGACTCTAAGCCAACCTCAACTTATTTTAATTCAGCATCAACTTCTCTGAAGTTGCTGCAGACAGGATGAGGATGTAAAGGGGGATGAAATCAATATTCAAATTTTAATTTTAAAAAACCCTCATAAGTAACAAGGGTTTTTACATGGAGAAGAAACAAGTTTTTTCTCAAGCCTCAACTACTACTGACACAAAAACGTCCTAACAAAGATATTCTAGAAAGAGTCTTCAAAATACTACAGAATGAAGTACGAGCCCAGTCCAGTATTCTGTAAAGTTCTTGCTCTCACTATGAATGCTGCCAGCTGTCAAAGAGAGTTTCACTAAAATTTTAAAATCAAGGGCTGCATTTATACATACGTGAAAACATACCCAAGCTAAGATGACAATATAATTAGCTATTTTCCAACTCCTGCTTAGCATATTTCCATTTTACTCCACATTCCTAGCCCACGTGACACACTGTAACTAAGAGAACATGGGACCAAATGGGACTAAACATGTTTCAGTATTTCAGCATGCAACTTAACTGTTACTTTTTTTGTTATGGACTAGTTACAAATACAGAAATGTTTTTCGTAAGTATAGGCTTCTGCAAACTCATAGAACTTAAACTGTTTTATAATGTGTGATACTGTGAATTGAGTCCCATTCTTGTTTACAACTTCTCAAAAAGAAAAGACAAGCAAAACCAAGAGGTGAAAACTCAGGCTCTGCAAGTTCTGTGGAGCAATACAGTCCAGCCTCTTAATTCACTTTCCTCTGACTGCTAGAGCTCTTCCTGAACAATCTCATGATTAAGCAACTGGTCTAGGACCTCAGAGATTTGGGCTTAATCTCCTGCTTTAACTCTGGTTTCCCATGAAATCTTGGATTCTTTCTCTGGAGCTCAGCTCTCAAGCTGTAAAATTAGCACTTCCTTTTTCCACACTATTTACTCATTTCCTGTTTATAGCAGCATATTAAAAACACACTTACCATCTCCCTCTTATGTGGACACAATGTCTTAGCAAAAAGATCTGAATTCAGTTGGGATTTCTGGAAGCTACTTTCAAAAAAAACCTTATCACTAAAAAAAGTCTTTTTCTTGTACAAACATAAAACTCAAAAATCATAGATTATGGCTTCAGTAACACATACTCCCACCAAAACGTTTTGAGTAACTAATATATAGAAAAATGCCACCTGCAATATGTGAATAATTTTATGTAAGAACAGTTATTATCTCAATCAGACACAGTAAGCATTCAGGATTCTCTTCCTATTCCTACAACACAGATACATAAACACAAACTAGTAGTTCCCGCACTTTGGGGGCTCATGGACCACTAACAATACTTTAATGTATCAGATGATTATTAAATTCATGAAGCTTTTGAGTGAAAAAATTAAATTGATGTGTCACAGACAAAATCCTCCCAGAATATATGTAAGCACTGGAGCCAAGTGGCTAGTTTCCTTATTTTGGAACACTTGAGTACATAATAGTGCTGAGTAAATGTGGTTTTGATTTGGAGCTATCTGGCTTTTTAACAATACAAAGATAACATCAGAAAACATGTGCAAGAAACTTTAAGACAACAGAACTAATGCATTTGTACTCCATAAAAAACAGGGTGGAGTTCACATTTAACTGGTACAGCAACCTTTAGCAAGATGCTTCTGCATGTCGATCCATTCTCACTGCATCAACACGCTACTACTAGAGAGCAGCCAACAAAGAGCCAGAAGTCTCCCAGGCAGCTTCCAATTTCCACACCTCTCCAGAGGAGACATTAATGATTCACTCAGGAGATCATAGAGGAAGGACTCTGGAGCCTTGCGGCAGCAGCCAACCGAGAAGAGGAAACCTCTTCCCTGCAGCACACTGAAAGTCCTTTCCAACACATTTTCATCCACGCAGCTCAGTAACATCCAGGAACAGAGAAAAGGGACCCTGCTCACTATGAAATGACGTTGTATGCCGCAGCAGGCTTACGGGCCCAGAGAAAGGCGAGCTCGGCAAGCATCTTTGCCTAAGGACCTCCAGCCATGCATGTGTGTGGGAGCAGAGAAGGGAAATATGAACATCTATTTCTCATTTTACCTCCTGAGACCAGAACGCCATCGGAATTTACAGCCAGCGTGTTGATAATAGCATTGTGACCAGAGAGGTTCTGAATGAAATTTCCATCTGGGAACTTCCACTGCTTAATATTATCTGGGGAACCAGATGCAAACGTGTAACTGAAAGAAAATAAGCACAGTATATTAGAGTCCAAAACAGCTGCAGGGACAGCAAACATTCTTCATTGAAACTACTGTTAAATGCTAGCCACGAATTTACCTCATACTAAAACTGTTTTTATAACATTTTGCTTTGCATAAAATGAAGCAGTTTTATGAAGTCATGAATTACCTATCTCTGTTCCCTTTCTGTTCCATAAGCTACTTAAACTTTATAAATCCTATAGCATATAGGATGTTAATATGCAAGCATTAAAAACGCCCATTAAGTTATTGTCAGTTGTTATTCCGGCAAATTTTCAGGTATAAGGGCATCATTAGCAAAGGCAAGAGGAAAAAAACCCACAAAAACCCACAGTATTGGCTAGTCGTTTAAAACTACACAACCAAGGATAAAGCACTGCAAAAAAGTGAACTATGGACGATAATTTGTTTTACTGAGTTACCCTAACATAATCAGTTCCCTCATTTTAACATGTGGAAGCAGTTAACAAGGTTATTTGGGTAGCACATCCAAAAGCCTGTAGGAATATTTTCGGTTGCTACAACATCTAAGCAATTTACTGTCTATTTTATAGATTCTTAAATAACAAAATAAATTATTAGGAAAAAATACTGGAATATTAAAAAAATAGAAGTACTGAAATACAAAAAATACTAAGCTGACGGTTGCTACTGCTTGATAAAAAACACTACAAGTTTGGTTTTTTTCAAAGAGGTACAACTGATGAATTTGAAACCAGACTTACTGATTTTTGACAGAATGTAAGTGAAACTAAGGTTTTTCTCTGCTTTAGCTAACAGGCTTAGCATGAGATTTTTATAATTTTTCAGACACACAGATCATATCAGAATTGGTTAATGTCACAGATTCTGAATTTCTGCACAGACAGAATTTAATCTTAAAATATGGAAGGTGCAGAAGTACTGCAGTTCTATGTGAATTCCTTTTCTCCACTGTTTTACTGGGGATTTATCTGAAGAGGCAACTGTTGATGCATGAAAATATAGTATCCAAATTCAGAGTACTTCCAACAACACCTGCTTCAAGGATTAAATACTCACAAGAAGTTTCTTTTTAAGGTCAGTTAGATTGAAACATCTTGTGCAGTGAACCACATATTCAAAAAAATCCTTTTGTAATAATCACTGTCTCCTTTAGCATTATTCGCACATGTGCCATTTTACAGAACTACTTCATTTTCTGCTAACAATCTTTCAGTTACATGTTTGTTATTAGCCTTACAAGCTGGTTTCTCAAGGACTGCAAAGGCACATATATAAGAAATTCAGTGGGATATATGACATTCTCAGGATTGCTAATACACACCAGTCCCAATACTCAAGGAGCACAATCAGTGTAGGAAAGGTGCTTGAGAATTGATACGTACATTTTTATAGCATTCTAAGCTCATTAGTTTTTCCCATCATTATGCCATACCATTCTAAATCATCACTCACACTGAGTTTCTGTCACCATCCAATGTTATTAACTGTGAAAGCATGAAGGAAAGATGAAAACTTACTGTCTTGGATGTAGCACTACTGCTCTTACAGATTTCTTGTGATTTGTTAAAGTAACACGAGTTTTTCCTGCCACTAAATCCCAGAGCCGTATGGTAGTATCATGACTGCCTGCAATGAAAGGAAAACAAAAAATAGTGGAAACCATCATATTTACTCTATCACAATTATTTTGATAAGGCAGCCAAAACTTTATATGTGAAAGAGAAAGATACTCTTAGTGTATGTTACAGAAATGCAATCCTAATGCCACCTCAGACAAGAAAGATGTTAGGTTGTAATAATCTTTTTATGCAGTTTGAAATTCAAGGAGACCTAAGCAGTTACACAACAAAACTAAATTTTGACATAATGAGAAAGATGATGAACTTTATATTTAACCATGGTACTGGACACCTAACTGAATTGAGAAGAACTATGAAATATCACAGAAAATGCAAGTCTCAATACATGTTACAACAAAAAAACGTAAACGCCAGAAATAAAAGAAGCGCAGAAAAACTTTCAAACAATGCATAGCTATACTTCCTTAAACATACCATTAATAGTATGAAATAACCATTGCATGGCCCATTTTCAGCAGAAAACTAGTAAGTGAAATTGAATAAGTTACAGATAACATTTTGAACCTCACGTAATTACTGAACAAATACATTCATGATTACGTTTTACAGCCATGTCACTTGTGAAACCACACCCACTATACCTGTAATAATTTGTGGTTCTGCAGCTTGGCATTTCACTGTTGCTACTGCATTTGTGTGTCCTGATAGCGTGTGCACACTCGCTTTCGTCCTCACATCCCAAATCTGTGAATTCACAGTAAATAAGTCACAGAGGTCAGTAACAGGTGCATATTCAGTGTATTTGGGCACTGCCATCCACGAATTCCTTGCCATAGTTCTACAGATTAAACAATGGTATTGAGGTTGTTTTTTTCATCCAACAACTAATCACACAATTGCCTCAGCTGGCAAATTTCAAGGGGAGCAGGGAGCCTGTCATTAAATTTCTAGATACACAGATAACTAGAGGCACCATAAAACCATACCATCTTTTAAACACAACAAAGCAATCCTACAAATATTATGTAGTCTACCTAATTAATTAAGATATAAAACATTCTCCCGAAGTGACACTGCACTTCTATGTATTTGGGTTTCAGTTTTCATCAACAATGGAAGACAAAAAGACAAAGTTAACATAAACCATACCGGTAGTTTCGTCTTGACTCATGTCAACTTTTGGTAAGCATTCACTACAAACAGAAAATGCTGACACAGGCATATCAAGATGTTAAAATGTAACAATGCTATACTTACTCGTGCTGTTGAATCTCTGCTACATGTTACCAGTACATCTATTGTTGGATGCAAGTCTAAACCATAGACAGCACTTAGATGACCATGGTAATGTCTGATAACCTAGATGAACAAAAAAACGTACACACATTTGAGTTTTTGAAAGAATATTCTAAATACTTTGATTTTTATATTTGCCACCACCAATTAATTCAAATTAAAGAAACTACAGCTTACCTTATTGTATTCAAGATCCCAGCATTTCACTTGTTTGTCTTCTCCACAAGAAAAGAGGTACGGACTTCTTGCACTTACTATCACCCCTCGTACAGTACTGATGTGTCCCGTCAAAGACAATTTCAATTTGCCACTAGCAAGGTCCCAAATCTGCATCAAAATAGGTATTTTGAGGTAAACGGGTAAAAGCTACACATTGATAGTCTGGGTAAACAGCCCAGATGTAATTGATCCTGCTGCATTTTAAATTAAAATAACAATAACAAAGGTTTGCTTTCCAGCTACTACCATGTAATAAATGAAATCTCAAGAAGTAATACTCCACAAATCCTTTATGACTAGGTAAAAAAAAAATATTCTGCAGTTCATTATTCTGCAATCAGTAACCACAAAATTGTTTCCAAAGGCTGGAGACTTTTTTAAAAAAGAGAACAAAAAAACACCCCTAAACTTTGTCAGTGACTTCCTCCAACCTCTTACCTTTATAGTTCTATCAGCAGAGCCAGTAACAAACCATTGATTCCCTGGTTCTACTGCAATACATCTCACCCAGCCCAGGTGACCACTGATAACCTTTGGAAAAAAAAAAAAAATTTTTCTAAATCAGAAATACTACACATGTATCTGTCAATACAATTTTCATCCTCCAACACTGGAATTTGTTAGTATTCACCAAGAAACATACGTTTCCCAAAAAGTCAAATGTGAAATGAGATCTGAAGAGAGCTTGATTTCTACTGTAGTTAAATGAAGAGACTACTAGAAAAAAACAACTTTTTCAAATCCTTTCAGAGTCCATAATACTGTGGCTCAACACTTGAGGCTTTGCAGAGAAGGACTGTATTTAAGTGCAAGTTCCTTACACTGCTGTATAGTGTTTACACAATAATAGTTAAAGAGCAATTACATAAAATCTTGGTTATTAAATCACATTGCCATATAACAGCTACCTCTTAAAGCACATCACCACCTCCTTTTACCCAAATAAGGGGTAATATGAGTATGTCGGAAACCTTCTGGTAACAAAACACTGGAACAGGTTGCCCAGAGAGGTGGTGGATGCTCCATCCCTGGAGACGTTCAAGGCCAGGTTGGACAAGGCCCTGAGCAACCTGATCTAGTTGGAGATATCCCTGTTCCTTGCAGGGGGGTTGGACTAGATGACCTTTGAAGGTCCCTTCCAGCCCTAACCATTCTATGATTCTATGAAAATACTGGAGATGGATCTCACAAAAAAAGCTTTGCCAATACAGGGCTTGCTTACAGCAGCCTTTCTGTTTCTCTACTTTCTCCACAGTCAGACAGCTAAAACCAAAGCACGTATTTGGTTTCACTGAATGTCATACTGCATGTACTGTCATACAGCCTATTTCAAGAGATCTAAAACACAACAGAAGTTCTTAGGCAGAAATACTTTTGAAAGCTCAAGTGGATTCTTCCGACCAGATGAGACTACAGTCACACACATTTGAGATAGCTGTCTAGATTTCTTCATAATCTAGGAATAGAAACGGGCATTTCCAGAGGAGAAATCTATTTCGTCTGACCTATTTTAAGTCCCTATCTTTCACAAATGACTTCAAACCAAGCTTAGGAAGACCAGTTAAAACGTAGACCTTAAGCAACAGATGAGATGATACCCACACTTGGTGTTCTAGCTATGCTTCTATTTCTCACGTTGCTCAAAACAAGCTTTTGTCTTGTTGAGCAAGGATTTTGACAGCAAACCTCCACTAAAACCGTTGACGTGCAGAATTAGTACAGGGATTTGAACTGTATTTACAGTCACTCTCAAAAGAAAGTACTCCTAACAGGTAGGCATTTTTCATTTGTTTATTTTAAATATCCCATGGGTTTATTCTAGTGCTATTTTTTTCAAATAGCATTTGCCTTGATTTCTATATAGAGCACATTCTAGTACTGCTGTATTCAGAAAACCTATATACTCCTTTGAGCTCAAGTGTTCTGAAAAAATTACTTTTTGAGATTAGTCTTAAGATTCATGACTAATACAGGATTCAGGACTCTTCTGAAGATCTAAATGCCTACATATAGTGCTATATTTAGATCAACAGTGCTAAAACAATATAATTCTGATACTAGAGCACAAGATTTTTAAATATCAGGAAAGCCTAACATTCCTAAAACAATATTAACCCTCAGACAAAATATGAAATTGCTTAAGTTTCAGATTAGGAATCAGCCTCTTAGAGGAAAAAAAATAAAATGTACACATACAAACAGATGCACCTGAAAAGTTAAAAAGATCTGAATCAATACACATGCTTAGAGATTTTCCCTTCAACTCAGCTACCCTGCCACACTCATCAACAAAATATTTAAAGACGATATGAGATTTTGGAGGAATGGCTACTATTACTCCCTAAGAAAATTAAAAGGCAAACTAGACTAATTCAAAAACAAGACTAGAAGTCAGGCAATCTAAACTGCAGTGATAACTTGTGATTAAAGAATTCAGCTTTTTTTCCCTCCATTCTCACAGCAAGTAAAAGAAGTCTGGCTGATTCAGGCACTGACTGCCTTTAAGTGGTTTTGGAGACAATTTCATCACATTAACATTGCTAAAATATTTCTCAACATGTTATTAGCTTCAAAGTTTGCACCTTGTCTTTGAGTTCCTCTGCTGAAGAATCTGATTAGAAAAAACAAATTCTGTAATGAACTTATCATAATAAAGCTAAACCTACATAAACAAAAGAGTAATTAATAATATTCACAAAATAATTTACTAAATATAATGAAAAATGTTTGCAGTCTAATCTCTTTGTTATTTGAGGAGAGAGTGTGTGCACACAACTTAGTAGTGATTGTGTTTCATTTGATTTCATTTTTGTGAATGAGAAGAAAAATTATGCTTTGAGGTCTTTCTAGAACATAAAATATTCTTTTACTTTTATATGCATGTTCACATCATACATTTGTAACTTACTCTGTACAGTTTCCAAGGTGGATGCCACTGAGGTTTGGGCATGGTTGGAGCCTTCTTTGCCATTAATGCAGAATTTTTGTTTCCACCAGCTTCCACCATAGCCTGTAAGTTAAAAGGAAAGTTACTCTTATGCTCTATAACTTACCTCTTTGCCTAAAACCTAAAGCCTTCTCACTCTGACATCTTAACACTGATTAAATTTAGTCAGTTGGGAGATCTGGACACAGATGAGTCCAGAAGTAATCTGGTGAACACTACGTACTTTTCACATTAGATGTGCAACAAACTCACCACAGACATCCCCGGAGGCTGTGAACGCTCAGATATTCCAGCATGCCTGTAAACGTCACCCACCCCAGCAGCTGTCCGATTTGCATCCAGCCTATATTGAATGAAAATTGTTGATTAATTGGAATCAACTTTGTCTTCCACTAAGTAAGCGATAAGGTATCACAGGGCTGCATCCAGTCGAGTGCTGTACAGCACCAAGGATGGAGGCTCCACAGTCTCTCTGGGAAACCTGTTCCAGTGACTGACCACCTCAAGGTAAAAGACAGCCACGAACAAAGCTCCACTTTTCTCTCTTGTATCTAAATAGAATTTCCCTTGTTCCAGCTTCTGGCCTTTGCCTCTCTTGACATAGAGGAAAAAAAAAAATACACAGAAAAATCATGCCTGGCCACACTGAAAGTAATTTCTTTAAACATTTTATAGATTAGAATATTTCAAATACTCAAAGTAGCTCTTATTCTGATTTGTGTGTTTTGCCTTGAAATTCTCATAGATAGCAAAAGGGTTAATGAAGTAACACAGCAGTACCTGGACTGAGAAGGAGGAAGTGCTACAGCTAAGGACTGTGCTGCAGATTCACTAGGCATCCGCTGGACCTTAGTATCTGCTGTCAGAGCCACACCTTGGAAAAAAATAACACAGCAAAAGCAAAGTCAACTCTATTAAAAAGAAAATCCAGGAAAGTATATAATACAAACACATATGTATATATACACCTATGCACCAGGGCTTGTCACATCCCTTTAATATTAAATCCCACCCTTCAATGACATGGTTTTTCACATGCGAGTCAAATCTTCTCACATTTTTGTTTTGGCCCGATTCTTCCATCTTGATTTTACTACGTATGTGGGCACACAATTTCTAGAGTAGAAAACAGTATGATTCTGTCATTGGAATCAAAAAAAGCCTAACTAGGAGCAGCATCCAGCTTTTCATCCAGCTTCAACTACTGTGGAAACTCAAACATCACAGAAAAAACATGATCTTGCAAAGTATTTGCTAACTTAGGTCCTTTAGTGCAGTTTATTGTGCCATCCTTATGTGATGGTTGGTGTCATGCAGCAGTGCCAAAACTATAAAAGGTTTAGTCTTACTGAAGTGAGAATTTCAGACTACAACTTATAATTTCATCCTAAGAATAGCAGATGATTTCTTTAAAAATTTAAAAAATTCTTTGCAAAGTGTCGTTTTGGTGCAGACTGGGAGTTTATTCCACTCCCATTTCTGTATTTCTTTTCCTAACCAAAGTTCTGGCAGTTGACAACAAAGACAGTATTTGGGTGAGATGTCCAGGCTAAAACAAAAAACAACAATGAAAGAAACCTAATTTTTAACCACAACATATTTGATTCTATTAAAAGAACGTTGAACTGGAGGAAATCTCTGTGACAAAGTCTTGTCCCCATAGTCAACTATGCGTGTTTTTTTAATGACTGAGGGTCCACTGACCATTCCTATTTGTTAACTTACAAATCAAGCCACAACACGCTTCCCGCTACACTTTATTAATAAACTTAAGCAGTAACGGTAAAAGATTAACAGCCAAAACTAAACTGCTACAAGGAGAGAGCAGGATTCAACAGTAAGTGAAAATTGGGAATGGCCAACCTCACAACACAGAAACATGACCCTTCCTAGCACAGACAAAACCAAATGACACTAAACCTATTAGACTCTAATGTCTCTTTCTCAGAACAAGGTGGTGATACCCGCACTTTTCTGCTCTGGTAATGAGAAGCAGGATACATTCCCTCTCTTCATTCTAGCTGGAACCGCCCTCTCCTTGTTCACAACAAAATTCTAAGAGCAGCTCTGCCACAACAGCGGAGGCATCAAGGATGTGCAGGTCTCAGCAAGCTCTCTAAGAAAAAGGAGACCACAATATCAGAGAGGGGATTCCTAAAAAATTTTTGTGATGATGTTACCACGGGAGGTGAAATCTCACAGAAACAAATGACCATCTCACAGCAAGCTCACATCCAGCCAGGCTTGGTGAGAAGACACTGCACCTGTACCTAAATCCTCCTCCCGCCTCCTATCCCAGAACATTTATCAGCCATAAAACTCTTTGCATCAATACCATGAAAGACTTCAATGGCATTTCCCACTACTATCAGCTATGGATTCACAGCCACAGGAAGCCTGCTCCTGGTAGGAGAGAGCATGCCTTGTTCTGACAGGAAAGCAAAAAATGCCAGGCAAACGCTCATAGAATCTTACTTACCAGGCCCAGGTGGATATGGATGTGTACCTGTTATCAAATATTCAAGTTCTTGTCCTAAAAAGCAACAAAATTTCATATTAATAAATAAATTTTATACTGCACTGCAAATGATGCACTGAAACAGGAAATACAGGAAAATGGAGCAGGTCATACAAAACAGGAGGAATCCATAATCACCTCTAGTGTACTAGACTTAGACATTTCTTATTTTCATTCGTTTTCGTTGTTCTGGTTACCCCAGTTTTCAAAAATTCAAGAGTAAAATAACATTTTTTAAATGGTGATGCCACTTGTTATGAAGAGGCATCTTTTTTCTCTCTCTGAAGAGAAAAATCTTCATACTGCCAAAGATCTCTTTTGAAGTAGATAGCATGGAAAAGGATTCAAGTACACAAATAGCATGGGTGTCTGAAACCTAAGCTAGTCACAACAACTGATGGTGTGGTATTGGGAAAGAAAAAGGTTCTTTTCTTCTTAAAATATTTTTCATTATCTCTCAATATCTTTTATTCTCAGAATACTTCCAAATAAAGTACCTTGAAAAAAAACCCTCATCTAAAATAAGGCAGCATTTGGCATTCTTTAGAAGAGAAGTTTCTGGACCTACCTAATACATACACATTTTACATATAACCAAACATAGGCTGAAAAAAAACCCACCAGATTTAAAATAAATATTTTCCTGGTTTAATAATTGCATACCTGAAAAACATCTGGAATATTTCTATGAAATAGACTTAAAAAATAAATAAAAAAACCCCACACAAACAAAAAAGCATGTCCTTGACCATCACTAACTTGTGAAAAGGAGAAATACCTTATGGATTTTACTCTTTCTAGCACTTAAGTTCAGCACACACTAACGTTACCCTACAAATTACTGATTTTACTAATGAGTTACTGTAAAAATTTCACATCACCCTCTTACTCCTTTGTTAAAACAAACATCTTCCTTGTTCTGAATCACTCACGTCCTGTGGACCCTAGCAAGAAAAATACTAAATGAAAAAATGGTATTTGGACTTCTGTCTTTATCTCCGATGGATTAACACTGGACTGTGTTCTTCAGATTTTACACCAGTGAGACTGTCATGAAAGAAAGGACAAATATACCACTAAGAGCAAACTAACCTTGATTTCCAGAATACTGCTTGTGTCCATAAGGATCCCCAGTGTTCGGGCTTCCTTTCTCTCTCAAGTTTTCTTTAAGAGTAGGCATGTGTAACACTGAGCCGTACTCTGTACGCAGCTTGACTGCCATCTTCACTTTGTGACTGTTGGAAGAGTAAAGCATAATTCTGATTAAACCCCAAGTTTTGAATTGCTACTAAGTTTGAAACACTTCAGAAAAGGTTTTATACAACTTATTTTACAATTCCAGTATTTTTTTCTTCCCTTTTCTACACTGTTAACTCTACAGAAACATCTGAACTTCTGACTTGGATGGAGCAATCACTAACATAATTTAAAACTTTGAGGCATACCAGTAATTCACCAATCGCAGTACTTACCTTTCTTCATCTAACGGGATAGGCTTGGCATTATCAGCTACAAACATATCATGGGTTCTCTTCAAAGATCTGAACACAAGTGTGTGCACAGAATGCTTCTGGACTTCCTACAATAAAAAAAAACAATACTTAAATACATTTGGACATAATTAAATGAAAAATTGAAAATGGAAACATAAATTGAACTGAGTAGCAATTTCGGACTTCAGTACTGTTAGGTGATACAGCACTATTTAGTTCACAGAAAACACCACTCTTCTTGGAAACAAAAAATTAAGTTTATCTGTTAATTGTTTTAATTCAATATTTACTGAAAACATCACTCCTTTCTTGGAAACTGCCAAGACTTTGAAAAGCAAACAAAAAACTTCAATCAAACTTTCTGCACTGGCATCTACATGTCAAATCCTCAGGCTTTCCAGTTCTGTTTTCATACGTGGGCAAGAAAGTCACCAATTCTGAAAACATTCCTGTAAATTTTACTTCACTGCCACCCTAAAAAGAACAAGGGCAATCACCACTTTCTGTGCACAGCGTCACTTTATGTAAGCACAGCACATTTTACAGAGATAAAACTTGAGATCAAACCTGACAAAACTTGTTTTCATTTTATATTTTTCATATCACTAAAATCAAAACATAGTTAAAATCTGGAATTCAGGAACTAACAAGTAGCATTAAAAAGCTATTAACTTATATAGAATATTTGTTTATCAACAGCACAATTCAGTTTTTTATTAATATTTTTCTTCCAACTGACAAAAATAACTAGAAATCTCAGCTTGCTTGCTCAGGTACAAAACCAAACTCTCTGCCTGCCTGTGTTTGTTCTGTATGTCATACAATGACAACAAACCGGAAGCCACATTAATAACTTCTAGCATTAGACAGCGCTCAACTCAGTGATGAATGATGTCCAGTCTCAAAGATTCATTACACAGATGCTTTCCCTGTTAAGCTCTTTGCAGGTTCTGTTTTCCTGCCCTGGAAGCTGCCCACTCACTGATCCATTTTGCAGTGGCTGTTACCTTCCTAACTCAGTAGCACCTGCACAAAGTTTTTGCTCTGACTCAGTTAGCTCCTGCAAGCTCCAGGTATTAAGTGGGGGGAAAAAAAAGAACAACCTAACACCAGCATCTGGAATTGGGTTGGGAATTTCATACAACTGGAGAAAGAAATAAGAATTACAGTAGCTAATTACTATTCAACAACAGCAGCTGTTGAAATCACCGCATGAGTAGTAGGTAATGCAATGCCTCCCCAACAGGGAATAAGCATCTAGAAATATTTTTTGACAGACACTCCACTCTGTAAAAAATAGCTGGCAGTGTTAAATGGGGCAGCAGCCTTTGCATCTTCTTCCATACTCCTGTCAACAACACTTGCTTTTAGAAGTGCACTATACTCACCCCTCAGTAACTACTCCATAGCCTATAAAATCAGCGGCCTTCTGCTCGGCTTTACTCGCAAGCCCTCACAAAAAGGCTACTGTTTTCCTCACTAGCTGACAAAGCCAGTAAGTGACCTGAGGTCGGGCATCACAGTATCACCACCCCAGCGGCTGGCACCAATTCCGCACCCAGCGTTAAGTCTGGCACAGTAAAACTGCCGCCTGCTGCTTGCTCCTGCCCCGGACCCACAGAGCCCAATGACC